ATTATATACCAAATTTTGAGCTTTTTTGGATTTTTTATAAGGGAGAAATAGCAATTTTTTTGAGAGTGCCCAAGACTTATGAATCACCCTTTAACCCAGACGGAGAACTTGTAGGTCTCTTATCCTACCATTAGACTATACTGGTTTCATTAAGTGTCAAGTGAAATATATTCGATTCTACAACATCAGTTCATCATTCATTTTCTTTTTTTTTTGTCTGAATTTACAAAAAGCTGTTATGAAGATTGGTTATCATTTATCCTTTCATATTCTAAAACAAAACTAGATAATTCAAACAGTTGCCATATAAGTATAACAATGATTGTATCTCAGCTTTGATTTTATTTTATATACGTATGTTGTGCTTGTCACGTATATGTCATAGTAGTAAAAAAGAAAGGAAGAAGAGAACAATTATTTTACTGGTAAATCATTCAATATATTGATATTGTAATTATTTAGCTTACTGATCATGTAAATCTAAGGCATATAAACTAGGGTTCTTATGCTTATAAAGAGCAATTCATTTTGAGTATGCTACAATTGTCTACTTAAGTTCAATTTGTATGTCTAATGTTATTGGTTTTTCTACAGAAACTTTGTCAAAGTTTTTGATCGTTGACCTTTCGTAACTATATTCACTTTTGTTTTTTCATACTGTTATTAAAAATTTATTGTTAACTTTGAATATTATATATTGACTCGTAAATATGTCATAAAAATCATTACAATTAATTGTATTAGCACTATTTCTACTACAAAAAAAAAATTGAATATCACATGATTCAAATAATTTGATTTTAGTTAATCAATAACCTTATATTTAGACTCATCCTCCAACTCTTAATAACTATTAAATCACATACTAAGTCGATAAAAGCATGCTTGTAAACGATCGTAGATCTTCATATATGGATGTGGTAATGTGTAGTGTTGTTCACAGCTGAGACATATATTCACATCCTCAGTTCTTCTTAATTAACGTGATAAAATTCCAAATTTCTTCAATAGGTAGAAATTCATTCGCCCTGTCTATTGAGATTCAGTCTAGTTCAATCCTCAAGCGCACGTAAAAATGCCCAAAAAACGACAAGTCCGTTAAAAAGAATCATCTATTGTCAAGAAAATCAATGAGAAAAATTGATATCATCAATATACACTGCTGTCATATATCACAGTACACAACGAAGTGATACATTCCTTATTTTGACTACTGCAAGACTCCTATAAAATGGCGGATATCAAGGCATGCAACATATGATCGTCTTAGATATACAAAATGTCATTTTAACTTAGATTATCAAAGTTCAAAGTAAAACATCAATTTCAACATATTTGTCGAAGTATTTTAAATCTACAAGATCACTTTTAATAAGAATCGAACAATACACAAAAAAAATTTCATAACATATCAGCCAAGGCACAAACTTTGGCCTGACTTGACCTGTGGAATCAGAATAATATTATTATAATATTCCTCGCTTATTTTTGGTTTGTTTTTGTTTTTTGTTGCTTGATATTATTGATCGTCTATGCATGATGCTTTAACATACCCTTGTCAACTCTTGTTATCTCTGGTCTTTTTCTTTCTTCTTCCATAAGTTTTGCATCGCTAATTAGTTTATCGTCTACATCTTCTTTCTTCATATTTAGATTATCTTCTTTCATAGTCTTGCTATGGTTGCCTTTCTCCATTTTGCCTTTCCTTCGCTTTATATATCAGCAATGGATGATATAGAATAAATAGAAAATAAAAGATTAAGCTAAAACTGTTTTTAAAAAGTTAATGCCATGTTAGTCGAAAAACTAAGACCATAAGTATAGCATCTATTGCATAGGATCTAGAATGATATTATCGAGTGGAATTGAATGATTATTAGTCACTGATTATAATCAACAGAGATGATTCATGTAGGTTGGATTTCTGTTCAATTTTAAATATATTGATGGTGGACACTATTTAGTATGTGATGATTCTCTTTCCTCTGTCCTAAATTTTCAAGGAAAACTTTAAAGAACTAGCATGTTGCAAATTATTTTCTCTAAAATTTTAAATACTCAATTGCCTGTTTTACGCTTCAATGAATGTTATCTAGCTGCAATGGTTACAATGAATATTATGGATACAATTTATTCGTGTTGGACTCGTTCGGATCGGATCTACAATCTGAACATTGTGCAGATTTTTTTGTATTTAAAAGTTCTATTAGAGGGCATAGAAAAGCTTAGTAGAACAAGAAGTTATGTAGTACATAATTTTTTTCTTCGATTTCACCGACTTTTCTGTATTGATATCGAACAACAATATATAAGGAGTATACAGTCTGTTCGATGGTGCTATAGAAGTCTCAGATTGTATACACAAGAAAAGAAAGATAAACAAGAAAAAATTCTATCATATGATCCTGTTGTTCTACTGATGGAATATCGCAGAAATATTGAGGACAAAATGAGGTCAATAGCGTATTCTTTGTTGCTAACTACAAAATGAAACGAAGAGAAAAAGCATTGCGATATTGCTTTTCTCAAGAGAAGGATAAAAACAGTTGATATCAGAGTTCGACTCAGGTCGGGTCACAAAACTTGGACTTATGTCGAACAGTGTAACTTTTGAAATAGTAGATGACATGATTGAAGTTCGAAATTATTAGATTTATCAAATTCACAACATTTTTCAACATTTTATGTCCAACAGTATCAGAGAAAGAAATATTCTATAAAAAACGAGTAATAAAATTTTGCAGCATATTTTCAGATATATCCTACAAAGCGTTCATATGCTAAGAATGAGAAAAATTTTCTGTATATTAATTCATCTTTCATCATTATAACATACATAAACTGTGCGTTTAGAATCATTTCAGTATCTTGTATTTTTAAACGACGACAGATCGCTAACCGTTGACATTCTTGTATCTTCTCCTTGCAAAATTCTATATTCAAACATTTGAAGAAATATGGTGTCTTGGGTTTACATTGCTCAACAATATCCACTATACATCGGTTTTATTCTTTTTATAATGGGTGTTTTTGGCAATTTCATGATTCTATTGATATTTTCAATGGAGCGTCATTATCGTACCACGCCATGCACATTTTATTTTCTCATTGGCTCTATACATGACATGCTTCTTATTCTAATTGTTCTCGGTGTACGTGTAATGAGTATTAGTTTCAACGTCGATTTGACTCGAATTTCAGTCACATGGTGTAAGGCTCGATACTATTTATTCTGCACTTGGGCTGGCATATTGTTAACTTGTCAATGCTTAGCAACGCTCGATCAATATCTTATCACATCAAAAAGTGCTCGTCTTCGTCGCTTGAGCACTATAAAAAATGCTCATCGAGTTGTTGTAGTAACTCTTATTGTTTGGTGGATACATAGCATACCATGGTTGATTTATCAAGACATATCACCAATCAGTGGTGCATGCGTATATATCAATCCAATTTTTCATCGTTATGTCATCTTTTTTAGTTTGTTTACTCTCTGCTTGCTTCCGAGTGTGTTCCTGGCCATATTTGGATTTCTGGCCTATAGGAATATATCTCAAACGACAGCTCTAAGTAAAACAAATACACATTATCAAATGACAATCATGGTTTGTTGGCAAATCTTTCCAGTCATTTTGAGTGGAATATTTAATGGCGGTTGGAATATCTACACACTTGCTACTGATAAAATGGTAGACAATACTGATCCATTGCATAAAAAAGGTTTGTTTCAATCGAAGATTGCTCTCTTGGCATATTTGGGTAGTGCCGTAAGTGTTATATATATATGTGAAGTAAAAGAAAATGACAAAATTGCTCTTTTATATTTGAATAGGCAAGATTCTATTTATTCTTGGTTGCTTCGAGTCGTTTTCGTCAAGTAACTAAGCAATGGCTCTGTTGTTGGCGATCAAACCATCAAGTTCCTTCTAATGTCAACGAAGTTGTAGTGACAAACGACTGATAGAATAACTTACCACATTAAATTGCTTATGATTGAATATATAGATGCTTATTTTTTTCTAATAAAAAAAACTCCTTTAGTCCCTAGTCCAATTTAGAACAATTCTTTCAACAGTCCTTCATTGGCATAATCGACAAGATATTTATCATTGAAGACCAGTAGTGACTGCTTATTCGTGATTCGAGAATTTAATCTAGTTTCATAAATAATAGCAAGAACCCTTGCAGACAGCAACTGTTTCTATCTTGCTAACAACCATATCAATTGATAACAAATACGTGAAGTTCAATTTTGGAGAGTCGTTTTAATTCATTATTAAGAACTTGACAACAAGCAGCCATATCTTCTAGCATGATTATCTGCTAAAACTACTGAACAGACATCAAACACAATACAAGTTCTCTTGTTAAATCTTTTTTATCGGGTAGACAGTTGCATTATGTTGATTAGTCTCAATAGAAAGATCTATTCAAATTTTTGAGTAATATATGATGGTACTTTTTAGTTTCAAGATAAACCTGAATGGTGACGACTAAAATTTTTCCTTTCTCACTGTGCAGCACAAGCGAACAAATTTGCTGCGTATTATAACTTGACGAATTACTGATGAATAGAATTCTCGTGATGTAAAAGCATATTCACCATTTTGATAAAAATTCTCTCCGAAAATATCAGCTAACGTTTCAATGCTCACGTATGCGTCTGATGAGAAATCATGCATTTTAATTCACATTTTGATGATCATTTCTTGTGAAAAATGATATAATTGACACTCATAGATGAGGAACAAATGAAGATAGTGATGGCAAGTATATGGCGAACTTTAGATTAAGTTCGATTTTTTGGAATTTCGAGTGTGCCACGAAGCATTGATACATATTTGACTTGTATAAGAGTGACAAGAAAGAAGGTATAACTCGGACAAGCTGTGTACGCCTTAACATTAAACTCCTTCTATGAATCAGATCACAGGTGTTTGGAAACGGCTAAAAATTCTAAAACCTAAATCGAGTTTTTTGTTTTTCATAATACTCTTTCTCTATGCACTTAGACTCGATATATCATCTAAGTTATTTGACAGATTCAGTGGTGGTTTGGGTATATGTCTTATTTCTTGAGACGAAGAAACTTTCCAGTCCCACGATTCAAAACCGTTACATGGTGGAATATCTTGTATATATCGTTTGACTAATTTATATGAACCAACACCAATACCATGGCCAAATACAAAATACTGTAGATCGTAAACTTTTGAAAAATAATCTTCTAATGCATGGAATAATGCATTTGGATTCAATTCATTCAGAATATATTCAATAAATGTTGCTAATTGTAAAAGCAAAAATTTTAAATGCCAAATGCAATTTCTTTTAACCATTGATGTTATAATAGATTTTACGTAGAAATTTCGAAAAATCACCACCAAATCGAACGTAATGAGGATTGAATAAATCAGTTTGAATTTGATACATATGCGATTTTTCAATGAAGTCTTGATAATTTTTCATATGAATTTGACCTTCAATTCTATATTTTTTAAGAAAGTAAATTTAGCCATCGTATAAAGTAAAAACCAAAGCGGTGCTGCCATAAAAGTTGTTAAAAGAATTAGAGTAAAAACAATTCGTCCAAATGTTCACGATCTATTGATATAATATCTGTCATTTGAATTACTCATAATATTATAAGCAAAACTATATCCACTATAAAAATCGTACATCATCCGTCGACCGATCTATAAATCCATAACACGCGAATGGTTAATGGTACCAAAATTGCAAAACATCGAATGATGGATTATTCGAATTTCGAAAGAATAGTGTTTTAAATAATATTAATGTATACAATAGTGATAAAAGAAAAACTGATAAAAAGAATGAACTATTTTGATAATTTGTGATATGATGCAAATATTAATGCAAGCCATCCTATGACAATAATGTTACTCTAATTGAATAATTGATCAGCTGTCCACAGAATGATGATCATTATGAAGAATTAGTTCGAGTCACGTATCAAAGCGTGTACACTTTTTCGTTTGTTGCTGATTGATAAAGTAAATCTAGAAATAGAATATGCATATTATAATGCGCACTAATAAAATTAAAATATAAACAGGCTATGGGTGTGTAGGGTGGGCGCACAGAGTCTATTGATATGCGCCGATGGGCATTCGAGGAAATATTTCAAGTTTCAGCAAATTTCAGAAGATGATGGGCTGTACGAAAAATTTTTTCTATTAGGAATTTCGAATAATGAAACGTTAGATAGTTCGGCTCTTATTTGACGCATTTAAGCACTTTTCACATTCGTTCTCCATGAAAATTATTTGAATGAGATAAGACTTGACATACATTCTCTTCAAATGATTCAACTTTAATACCATTCTATAGAGAATGGTATATAACTTATGAAAAACTTTCATTGATTCTAAATAAAAGTTCACTGTTGATACTGTAAGAGGAAAATACTAAACCGAAAATAGGACGTCGTATACGAGATTTAAAACCTTGCTGAGTATTGTACCTTGGATAAATAGACAAGTGCATACTTTTTGTAAATGTCTACACAGATTTAGACAGAATTCTTCGACTTGATAAAACATGTCTCTAAATCTATTACTTTATATTGATCATGAAAATGCTTACAAAAATAATATATAGACATTATAAAGGTTCAACACAACTTAACGAACTTTCTGTATAGCATGAAATTTTCTTCAATTGTCAAATAGTCTTGCCATAAAATGGACATAAATTGATTGGACAAACATGGAATAGTCATAGTTCAAAGTTGGCAAACAGCGCCAAACCTTACAGATACTTTGCTAATTATTTGTCCGTTTTAACTCATCTCGGCTGATATCGAGTTTAGATGCCCAATGATAGTTGTATTTCACTCTGATATAACGCGATTGCTAATAAAACTATGATAAACACTACTAAATCCAGTGATACGTACTGATAAATATTCGAAGTAAAGCAAGAAATATCAATTAAGTGTGGGTGTGGATGTTGATCGTCTGCTGATTCTTAGATACTGATACGCACAATCTCATAGAAGAAGGTGCTTTTTGAATTATAGGAAAGAATCAGCTCGTACCCTCTCCAAGTGCTATTATCGTTTTGGGGAAGGACTGATCCCTCAAGGCCTTCTCAGGTTGTGTCTCTGATTCTCTGACACCACAATAGATCCTTCAACACTTCTTTCATTAAATAATCATCAATTATTGATCATGGAATCGTTATCATGTATTAAATATTTATTAATAAACTGCTAATTAGTTTCTTAATTAGTTAATTAAATAATAGGGATGCACCAATTCCGATTCCAACCAATTTCAATTCCAATTCTTCACTAGGAATTGGCGGAATCGATTGGAATTGGAAATTGGAATTGGTTGGAATCGGTTGGGATTGGAATTGGTTAGAATTGGCAAGAATTGAAATTGGAATTGGTCGGTATTGGGTTTTTTAAAATCGTTGATTCCGCACATATTTCGAGAAATCGTCGATCGATCACCAATTTTTTTAGACCGATTCCAAAACAATTCCGGTCCCAACCAATTCCAATTCCGGCCAATTCCAATTCCAGTCGTTTCCAACCAATTCCGACAATTCTACGAATTGGAATTGGTGCATCCCTATTAAGTAAAGCACCTGTTCTAGTCTGCGAGAGACTGGGGGTGAAAATTTTTACTCCATATACTTCAATGCTCCTTTTCAATCGTGTTTCACAAAAATATCAGAACGACAATCATTCTCTTGCATTTTCATATGACCGATTGGTCATTTTTTTTTCTTCTAAACACGCAATATACCTATAAAGAAGCTGAATATAGAATAAATGCAAGAATTTAAGATACTTATCGCTTCAAAATAAAGAAATGGAAAGATGATAAGCCATTGCAATGTAATGGATTCTCATGCTTGTGTTCTAATTATTATATTAACCAGGAAAAATTCTGAAGAATGAGATTTGATGCCTTTTTTCTTAATGGCATCAAACTAGGAGACAAATAGATAAATGCCGAAAGGAGAAATAAATATCTATATATGTAGACATCAATGATAGTTATATTGAAATTATCATTAGCAAGAAAAAAAAAACAGAAAGTAATCTACTTCAAAATAATAGCATGAAAGTAATATTCGTTGTTTTTCTGTTTCTGTCATAATTCTCGTTCTTGTAGGGAACCGAGTGCTACTTGTTTTCAGCTTGTATCCTGAGCACAGACATACGTATCGAAAATAATCAATCATCTATATGTCATCATCAAGAAAACCAATTGAAACGAGTCAAAACTTTCTAAATCGTTTCTCTTATGACGTGTAGCATGAGAAAGAACGATAATGATGGAAGAAAAATGAATACTACAGTTGCTTTTTCGAAATTATAATGCCGTATCTTGTCTTCACTTTCAGTGTGGGTATAAATGAGAATTCGTGGTTGCCAGTTTCGACTATGAGAAGAAGAACAACTAACGCGCATACACGCCCTCAAGATTACAATTGGCTCTAACACGTACAAATGATATTCGAGTAATTCAATATTTACTCGAAATTCATTTTAATCTTCAGATAAATATGACTCGACGACAAGGTATTTTTCTCGCATAATATTTGTTGCGATTCAATAGCTATCTATGAGTGATGATCATATGTACGTTCACAATTAAAATATTTCCCGAAAAATATTGATCAACCACTTTATTTTAATGAACTTGTTAACGATCTGAAAGGAAAATTCAATGCTGAACAACATTCGAATGAACTTGAATTGTTCAATTAACAGACAACAGATAAATTGTGACCAATTCTATATTTTTTCTCTTGTTTTCAAGACAGAACTCTGCTTTTGAAGTGGTCACACAATTCAAAATTATCTTTCATCAAGAATTTCCGAATGTAGAAAAATGTCATTCTCGATGTAATTCTAATTTGATCTATCAACTATGTCTAATCACTAGCCACATCATTTGTTTTTCCAAAAAGAAAGATCTATTCAACAAGATGAGAAAATTATGAAGCATATGATTATTAGAGTTCCATTCATAAGTTTATACATCGTATCCTAAAAATCACTTAACAAACGAATACATTGATTATTTTCTAATGTGTTTCAAACACAGGAACAGAAGTTCTTTTATGAACACTGACAGGTTTCAATCTTAGTTTTCAGTTTTTGATGCTAAATATGCCTTAGAAAATTATGACATTCAGATGAATAGTTATTGAGCATAAATAATGCTGCTAAGATTGTTGAATAAAAATAAAAAAACATTTTACAATCGCTTGGTAGAAATATTTTCTGTAATAAAAATCAGGCTCATCAGTCGACATTGATATTGTGTTAGCTTTTATTAGACTGGAACACTCCAAAAGTTTTTTTTTCGATATTTTTGTTTTCATCGAGTATTCCGAACTTCGCTTTCGAGTCGTTGAAATGCACTCGAAAAGCCAGTAGTATTCTTTTGATAGTTTTATTCTCATTGCAGTACATGAAAGTCTGATGACTCCTGAAGAGGGTACAATGAGTGTGAGTATGAGTGATCAGAAAATACACACTCACACTTCAATGTTTCACTTCCGTTTATTAATTCAAACATGAAGCTACGTGTACAAGACGAAAGTGAATAGATTAAGTATTACTGTGCTAAAACTTGTATCATAATTTGCTGAAGTTTAACGTTACATAATAAAACTGCTTGAATTAAAAACTAAAGAAAAAAGACAAATATAACATATAATGAAATTTATATAGACCACAATAAACGATTTAAAATTGTTTCATAATATTAATAGGATCTTCATATGATGTTTGAATGAATGATCTTAAAAAGAAAAAGTATGCTTGTTTTTAAAATGAAAACTATTCGACTTCATAGCAAAAACTAGATATAAGCACTTTTTTAATGATAGTCTTTTAATAACATTGGTGTAGCCCTTGCTAGATGCCAAATCGTCGCCCTTACGTTAAGCGTTACAATAGTGACACCCAAAAAGTAGACTTTCTTTCTTTCTTTGACCAATATTTTCTGTCGAAAAAAAATGCTTAAACAATTTTTGTGCGTTTTAAAATCGGCATAATCAGAAGAACAATCGAGTACTAATCAACTCATAAATCATTTTATTTATTTTCATACAATATATTTTAATCGCCGTTATACTCTAGTACGACATGCGACGAGAGATTTATGAAGCTGTTGTTTGTCAAATTTTGATGGTAATATAAATACAATAAATGTAAGCATAGGTGGAATAAATGAGATAAAATATCCAATAAGAAGTAACCATGTATCATTTGTTGATTTCATACATTTGGCTACAAATAAAAGGATTAAACGTGGTAATGCAAGAATAATCAATAGAATAGGAGCAGTAAATAAATTTTTGTGTTGTCGTATTTGTTCTTTTAACAATGTAAGAAAACTTTGATTAGTTTGAAGATTTGATTTTTGACGAGATTTTGCTGTTATGAGAATAACAGCTGATATTAGATTAATGACAAATGGAACCAAAAAAATGAAAAGTATGCAAGATTGAATTGAATTTTTTAAAACTAGATAGATAAGTAACAATACACCATATTCGTTTATCATTTTCATTTTCTTCATCAATTAAACGTCAATAAAAAGGATCATAAATAGAAGTACCAATAATGACAATTAGAAGAATAACAATAACTATTTTTGCTAGTTTTTTTACTTTTTTTCTTTTAAAAATCAGTAGAGTTTTTATTATTGTCATTGTTCGTTCAATAGCAACAAAAGCATTTAATCATTGATTCATATTAACACAAACTCGTAAAAGAAAATCAAGAGATATACATTGAATTTGTAAAAATAATTGATTTGATATGTTTCATTTATGCAAGAACAAGTATTCAAAATTTCAATTCAAATATAATCTTTGTAAGTAAAGTAGTAATTGATGAATCTAATAGATACATCCCACAACCAACTTCACATATTATTTTATTGTTGAATGTAATCAAAGCTAAAAATCCATTGATAAATCCTGCTACCATGAAGATTATAGTCAATGCTAAACTAATTTTTACAATATTCGGCTGATGTATAAGACCGATATGTGGTTGAATATAATAGCATCAAGTGATAAACCAAATCTACTTGAACTAAATTGACATAATAAGTTTTATCGAAAAGTTCAATAAAAATAAGATGAAATGATCATGACGAGCAAATTGTTAGTAAATCTTGTGTAAGATGAAGCGTTTGAAAAGTAATTGTTCTCATTGGTATATCAATATTAATAACTTCAATGAAATGAATAAGTATCGATTGTGATAAAACAATACTCTTCCCAAATGATAGAATTATTTTGTTATCAATTATTTCACATCGATCACCAATATAGCCTTTTGGACAAATGCGTTCAAATTTTTGATTCGATATCATGTATTCATCAGAAGGAATATATTGTCCATCATGTTGACATGTTAAATTCTTATCCATTTGACAAATTGTATCGATAAGAAGATATCGATCACCAAATTTATTAATAGGACAAACACATACAGATCGATGGTAAGCTGAGACACCAATACATATTGAATCAGATGAACACATGCAAGCATGTTCAATTGTACAATATCGTCCAGACCATTCTCGATTACATTGACAAAAACTACTCTCTTGTAGATGAACGATTGTTCATTATGAATGTCGAGGTAAATATCGTAGTCTTTCATTCCTTGTCCTTTTGTCTACCTTTTCACAGAGGATTTACTGCAGAAAGGTCAAAACGACAATGTTGAAATAGAAATATACTAAAAAGCTCAACTAATAATATAATTTTTATTTTCAGCATGATGTTTTCCAGGATTTCTTTTACTTTCGACAATTTTTCCTTCCTTACTTTTCTCTTATGTATATCAATAAGTAAAAAGACAAAACATATTTCACCAACAGCAAACAAAAAGATAACCTATTATTAGGCTGTTGCTTTTTCAATGCATCATATTTATTATATGACTCCTGCACGAAATAACTAGTTCTTTACTAATGCAGCATTATCTTCAATTTTTTCAGCATTATATTCGTATTGAACTGATTCATTCAATACACATTCTACGTCAAAATTTTCTTCAAACCAAACTAAGCTTGAACAGTTCAAGAAAAATGTGTGAAAGAAGCGAAGTATTCATAGTAAATATTCGGACGTCCTTTTTAGATGACAGCTTATTTGAATATTTGACACATTTTCCATGAATACATTGCGAATTTGAACAACTCAGAATGTTTTCATTAGTTCGTGGAATGTTTGCTATATACGCGATACGATAAACAGGTAAAAATGGAAATTTTATTGGATAAAATAAACTTCCTGGATACGTCAATGAACTTTTTTCATCAACATCAATATGCATTGCATAATTTTTAGTTTCATTTTTTGGTCGATTGGAGTAAAGCAGATATATATTTTACAATCTCTTATTGACAAATAAGTGAATTGCTCATATGAATAAATAATTCTTTCTTCACTATCATCGATAAGTGAAATAATTATTGCAAATAATGTTGACCAAGAATCTGATAATGTTCGAAATATAATGGTCAAACTCATTCGTTGATTTTGATATTCACACATATTACCATAAAAACTAGACGGGCAAAGACATGTATTTCTTGTTAAGTTCTTTTCATTATTTAACCAGAGATGTAAATGAAAACCACGATGACATCGAGATTCATGTTGATGAAACATTTCGATGTGAGATGACCTTGAAAATATGGGTTTTATCATATACTGAGTTTGATCTTTGACCGATTTACTCATTCCATTCAAGGAAAAGTATTTAATTTAGTGTTTTTTCTTTTCTTTTATTTCGTGACATAAAAACTGCTCAACATCAGAACGAATCCATGAAGAAGACGAAAGGCAAAGATCGCCTAGTATGGAAATATCTGTTCGATTTTTTACACAAAATCTTTCATCATCTCCATGATCACAATTTATTGAATCTTCACATGGTTGACGAAAATGAATACATAATTGATAACTTTTTCCCATGCAGTAAAAATTATTGAAAAATTCTACTTGATACTTTTCTCGACATAATGTTGACTCGTCAGTAGCACCCAGACAATCGATCTTACCGTCGTTGGCTTGGTTAACAGGAAGACAAAGGAGTTCATTCGTATGAGGTGAAACATTTGTGGTAATCTAAAGAACAATTTAATGTTGAAGATAAATCACAACCAATTTCATCTTCATCATGTGGACAATTCTATAAACCATCACAATTAGTATAAATGTTCTTACATGACCATTGTTCACATTCTGTTTCATTTTGTCCTTCGATAATTATCGAAATCAGTTCAGTAAATCCATCACAAATAGTTTGAAATGAAATATTCTTTCTGACATAGTGTATATGAAAATCTTCATCTTCACACCAATGTTGGTCTTCAAGTTCACATTGACAGACTCCATTTCTAACAAGTGATTGATGTATGTATTTATAAGCTAATTCACTTTAGAAGTGATGTTTTAAAAGTTCTGTTAAATTAGCGTAAATGATTTGTGTTATATTTTCGTTATCTTTGTCAGGATAATCCTCTCTATTGCGCATGGGTCGATTCACTGGAATATATTTTGACAAATTAAAACACTGGTACATGTTTGATCTATTACAAATCGCAGAATTATAATTAGTAATTAAGTTAAATCTCTTCAAATCTTGGAATAGCTTGAATAAAGTTGGTTCATATCTATCCTCCCATTTAGTGGACGAAACCATGAGAGAGTCTAGTATATCAGCATGAAAACATGTTTTATTTTTGAATAAGAGCTTTGGACGATCAATAAAATATTTATCATAGTAAGAATTGTTATAGCATATGTAAGGTAGTACAGAATTGCTATCGATCAAATATAATGAGTCATCTTTTATGTGTGCGAAGTAAATGTGACCAAAAAAAAGAGAAACATTCGGAATGTAAAACATATATGGACATGTGTTGTTAATGATTTCTATACATGTTGGTTTTTCACAAATTCCAGTTCACAATGGCTCTTCTGAATCTGGTACTTCTAACACGCATTTGAAAGCTGACCAACATTGTTCAGATATTGAAATGTCTTTAGTAGAATAGATCGCTTTCAAAAGTAAACTTTTGCGTTGGTATACACAAGAACTTGTCACGAATGTATACTGACATATCTTTTCTTCACATTCAAATGATGGTATATCTCTATTACAGTTGTAACTATGTTCAGGCTCATTGAAATTTCGTCAGAACCATCAAGACAATCAGGAGTGCTACGACCATCTCGAAAAAATGACTGTAGTATACATTGTCCATTAGTACATCGATATTCATTATCATTACATTCATTCATTTCAAGTTGTCAACAATGTTCTTCATCAAATTCACCATCAAGACAATCATCCTGTCCATTAAAAATTTCACTCCAATCTAAACATGCTGGAAAAGGACCACGATTACATTGTGAATGAGTGTAAAAGGTAAACTTAGTAGAATTATATTCATATGTACGATAATAATCATGAATAATTTCATCTAAAGATGAATGATTTCGATGATAATAAGTAATTTCATATTGACACAGAACCAAATCTTGTTAATGTACAATTATAGAAAACTTGTCTTTCTAAAGATCAATCATTTGATGTTAATAATTGGTTTAAATAGAATTAATAACGTTCAACAACATCTATTGGTGCTAACCAAAGATATAATTATTGTCTCGTAGTATTCCATGTCGAAAGTTCAGCAAAAGTAAACTTTGAAAAGAAGTCGTTATTCTCGATATTGAAATTTCAATGGCAATTCATTCATATAATAAGATATAATTTCACGATTAACATTGGATTCATCAATAGAAGCAACAACATGCAAACAATCGTGTTGTAATATATTATGATTCTTACTTTCACTTACCCAATCTGTATAATGAAGATTGATTTGAGGTGTAGCAACAATCAAGTTTAAGAGACTGAAATTGAATAAATATCTTGTATGATACATTATCTACTTATAATGCATTGACAAATAAATACATTAATGACTATTTATAAAGTTTCTATGCAGGTGATCTTTTTTTTATAAATATCATTAGGAACTATTGACATTATTACAGTTCATGCTGAACTATAAATAATAACATTGGTTCCTGCTTGATTGATGTAGTTTTTATATAGTTGCTAATAAAAAATGTGAATTCAACAGCTTATCCTCTTACTGATAGGTTTCTCGATTATATTAAGCTTAAAGTTTTGAATGAAATAAGCTCACATAAAATATATGTAACGATAAAAATAAACGATTTTCAATAATTTTCATTTAATATAACAATTATTCAACGAGTATCATTCTTATTCATTACATACCATAGTAGTAGGTGAATCATCAATTCAAAATGAAATTAAAGATAGTGGTTTATGTCTTTTTTTGGAACTAAGAGCTTAAAAGATATATGACGTATTTTAACATAAAATATCATTTGTTTGATGATAAATTTAGAATTAGAGAAACAAAGTAATGTTAATTTATCAATATTAATTCTTTAATTTATTAACTGATAAACAGATGTGTATGTTAATGCGCTTTCGGACAATAATGCAGACAGCAACTGACTTTATTGTAATTTTTTTACAGTGTCTGTGATGGTAGTGAAACACATTCAATTTTTCTTTGTCGTTTTGGTTTGGCACGGCCAGAAGTTTTCGACGACTCTTCTTAAAATATTCTTAGTTTCGAAAGATTTCAATGTGAATCGGTATCAATGAGACACACTCAAATCATGAAATTTCCTTTAAAAAAACTTGAGTATAAGAATGAAATATTATTTTTGTAGATCCACACCAGGTCACTCGAAGAAGCTCTAGCCCAAACTTGGCGAGAACCCATTGAAACAATATCGGGTGTGGATTCCTGTCAAATTGAAGACAAGATCATACTTACATATAGGACGTCGAATTCAAACATCAGCTTGTCAGGCTCTTGATACAAATAGATAGTAATAATCAAATGAATTTATGGTAAATTGTGATCATTAATTCTTGATAGATACATGTCTCTTTTTAAGAGGACTTTCTTTTCTGATCTGGAAGTCAATTTGTTTCCGTTATTTTTTGGTTTTTTCATCGCTCTAAATATGTTGAGTTGTTCTCTTTTCGATCAGCCGAAAACAATGTGAGTACAGATGTGGTGTCTGAGTGTTGGTGGGGAGTGTGTGTGGATGAATTTTTTTACTCTATAGAAACTCACACCCACCTCTAGTCTTAGTTTATTCATTCATTCAAATGTCAGGGATTGTTTCGTTTTAGTAAAGAATATAGTCTGAAATAAAAATTGTATTTGTCGTTATTTTCCTTTTCTGTCGTTAAGTACCACTTCAAAACCAAATGTTTTTTTATCATTGTCACACAAAAGAATTTATTTTAACAATTTTTGGAACAAGAAGAAATGTACGGAGTCGACTTCATATTATAATAGAATTACATTTTAAACGAAAGTGGAAAAATGAACTTTTCAAAAAATTTTAAATTATTTTTGTAACATCACCAGAACACTTGACATGGATGTTAAACTCATGTTACAATAATGTTTTAGTACAAAACAACTTATTTTAGTTCAAAAATAACTTCTACCAAATTATTAACTTTCTTAAGTTTCTAGTTTACAATCTTTCTCTGCATTAATTTCTATCAATCTTATTATGTTCAAAAAATGTATTGATGATTTTCTTTTCTTTGCAAATGTTCAGTATTCTTCTTTCAATTTCAATGAAACAACAATAGATTATTTCTATTAAAATAAGATTTACATGCCTTCGCTATTTCCATTAATAACAAAGCCTTAGTAGCATTTTATGTTTTTTTCTTTTCAAGAATGATCAATCATGTTAAATATTCTTATTAAAAAAATCAATACATTTTTGATGATAGCCTCTGATATAAATTAAACAGTTTTATTTGAAATATATATGTTTCTAGGTCACTTTTTAAAAGTGTTATGTACATATCTTTATTTTTTTTAATATGAATTTTAATAATGATTGACAAATAAAACATCACTAGTATTACATGTCTAAAACAAGGACTTCTACTGATTTGTTTAAATTATTTGATCAACTTCATCTAATATTAATGTCATTTCAGTTTGTTCAATAATTGAATCAATATTATTAACATATAATGGCAGAGATTGAGCATGAACTGCAAAAATAGTCATAGACGAAAGCCAAAGAGTTATATTAAGAAATCGTTTCACAGCATCGTTGTAACTATATTTGTAGAGAAGATATTTCCATGCTATTTCTGCATACTTATTTTGAATCTCTAAAATATCAATAGGATTTGTTAACTCGTTTGAGGTATTTGAATAATAACAACCAGTATTTTCAGAAAAAGCGAATAATGAAATTGACAATTTAACCAATACAATATCTGGATCAATGAATTTCTTTGCCCAAGCATGAATATCTACTGCAGGTCTTCCAAACTTTATGGTTAATGTGTTCAAGAAAGCATCAAGAAGATTTAATCGACAATGTAGTACAATAAATGCACCACCCATGCAGCACACATTATCAGCAGCACTACGAAGTATTACATAACGATTATCAGATGATAATTTACGAAGATCATCATTGGAACAAAGATATATCTCTGCTGTTTTGTAAATAGATGCTAAGAATTCATCGACAAGTGTTTGATAAGTTATATAATTAGATTGTGCAATATCATATGTATCTATCAAACGTTGACTGAACGGTATAATTTGAGACTCTTGATAACAATTGAATAAATTTCTAAGAAGTGTCCATTGATCAGCAGTTAATAATGATTGATCTGACGATAAAAGATTTAATGTTGGAAGCTAATAAATAAATAACAAAAACTAGCTTATATTTCTAAAACAATTACTTGTAACAATATTATCAACTACTGTTTAATCACGTTTTGAACTATATAATAAGATAAGACTATTTTGAAAATTTTTCACCGATATAAAAATAAAAATTTAAAAAAAAACGAATCAAATTGAGAAGATTTAACATATTTTAGTTTGAATAACAATTCTATATAATAAATATTAAAAATTATTATTTCAATATCCTGAGATTTTCAGAAATGATTTTGCTCTAGTGAGAAACACTACTGATAAAATTTTCAGTCTGATATGTCAAACAAAAATAAACTTATGGCTTACTTATAGTCCATATATAACTTTGAGGAGAATCTTTATAACATTTTTTATGATCATTTTAGTACATACGATGTTAAAATAAATAATAAATAAGTTTAGACATGAATATTTTTATTCAAATCCAAAAGAAAGAAAAACCTACTAAAATGTCATATTCATAACATATATATTTAAATGGAATGTTTAACAGCACGTCACAGATAACATAAGGTAGCACTATCTGTTGTGTTTGAATTGTAGAAAAATGTGTACTCAATGCTGATGCAAACAAAGAGGTAGACTTCACAAAACTAAAAAACTTTAAAAAAAAACCACGAAAATTCCTTGACAAAAAATATTCGTAGAGTCGAAATTTCTTCCGGAAATCTTCTAAAATTTAACTTTTTTTTTTCAAAAAATCATATATATTTTGACAGTGAAGACTTCATTGCATCTTCCTATTCCCATGATAAAAACTTAACTTCGATTTTCGGAGGGAAGGAGGCCTAAATGATCAGATTTAGATTGAAGAAATGAAAATAGATCTTCTTTTAGTAATTTTATTTAATAATTTTACCTTCGTTGGTTGATATTGTACTTGTTTTTTAACTAAAGCGTTTGTTTTTGGTTTATTGTGTCTTGTTGATTGAAGTTTATCAGTAGTCATTCCACATTGAAAACATTTAGCAAGTCGACATGCTGAACAAACATGACGAGTATTTATATTAATTTCACATAGACCATCATAATCACATATAAATGTTGCCTAAATAAATTAGAATGAGAATTAATTGTAAAGAGAAGATCAATCTGACCGATCCAACCTTGGCATTTCGTTTAAAGAACATTTTACATGCATGACATGAAATAACACCTAAATATGAAGATTTAGTAGGAACGTCGCATATTCGACACTCATGTGAAAATATTTTGGGTGTTCTAATTTGTAACGGCATAATTGGGTTTGTTGTATTATTCGACGTCAGTCTTCTAAAGAAAATTCCTCATATATTAAAATCAACTTATTGATAGAATGAGTAAAGAAAAAACAAATATGTGTCTACTATATATAAGAAAGGTTATGCGGGTACTATGGCTATGTTTTTTCTTCTGCATAGAACGAAAATGTTCCTGTGACCCTAACCATCGTAATGTCGGCATTATTTGATCTACTTACGCTGTTCTGTACAAAAATAACAAAAAACAACAGTTTGCATTTTTTTTTCATGGTCTTTCATCTGTCTCGAGGTTCTTTGCACAAGGTTATAAAATAAGTATAAAGTTGCCATTAGAAACATAATTT